GCTCACAGCCAGCCCCGCCTGCTTCTTTATAGTGATATTATTTAAGTACAACTTCAAATTACACCTCCCTGGGGCGGCCTAGTGGTCTTATGGGGGTTAAAGCGCCAACCAAGAACCACATTGTCCCCGGATCTCTGTTGCATTTCATCCCCCATCTCACACTCTTCACTACTGCTACTATCAGACAGAGACAGAGAATGCCAAACATTTGTGTGTATGTGTATACATCCCTCAATTACTTCTGTCATGTTCATTTCTCACACAGGTGAACCATGTACACAACTATGATGATATGTTTGGTTCCCATAAAGCCACAAGTTACTCAACAAAGAATGTGACAATCACGTATGTATCCATACAAAGTCATTGCAAAACACCAGTACAAATGCTTCCAGGACTCTCTGTCACATCCTGTTCACTCATCACTACTGAAGTGTCCCAATCCTGTACAGTGCCTAAGTGGAAGCAGAGAAAATGTGCATTTTTAGTCTTTGGTTACCACTAAAGATCCACTGCCAGAGCAATGGGAACAAAAACAGTGATAAGCATGACGTGCATTTTTCAACAGCTTTGATGAACTTGACTTGGCACTTGGCTTCGATTCCTGGCAGCGTTGTGGAACTTTATTTCCGCACATACAGATTGAGAAAAGTCGTTTTTGTGGTAATGTGAGCCAGATGAAGTCTTGACACTGATATCAAGATATAAGCACAACTATAGTTTGCATTTATTGTTTGTTTATTTGTTCACAGTATCTGCAAGTCATCTCGGAGTGACATACTATAACATATCCCATATGTTGTTTGGTGCTTCCTGGGCTGAATGTGACGAGGATGACACATCAATACGAGTCAGACGTGTGACTCAAGTTATTTAGATCAAGTCTCAAGCAAGTTTCAAATAGTCCTTAGTTAAGCCCTTTCCCCTGACCTGGAGTTGTCTTTATTGCAATAAAAATAAAAAACAAATACCTTTATAAAAGTGCATTTATGATATATATAACCCATGGACCATCAAGTGGCATCTCCAGGTGCTTGACTGACATAGTAGTCGGTCAGTCACAACAATGCCATCCCAATTAACAATGCATATGCACTACATGTTGTGTAATGTCGACATAGCCAACATTCAACATTCTTATATTTGTAATATTTGAACTGAAAACCTAAAATAACTCAGTCAACTCATGCGTGTAATCCTGTCTCAAGTCAAGAGTCTATAGCTTCCAAGTCCCTAATTTTCTGTCAAGTCAAGTTGAAAGACATCAAAACAGCGACTCGTGTCAACTTGATTTCAAGTCATAATGACCCGAGTATACATATGAGGATTGTTATTATCTAATTACCATTTCTGTCCTGTTAGCCTCTGAAAGTTCTTTACAGCATCTATAAATGATGAAATTATGTATTTGGTAAGACTCTGAGTAGGAATCCATATTTTTTTCTCACAATCTTTACGTCATATATTGATTGTTACACGGAAAAAGCGTTTGCACAGTAAGCAAGACATAATCCCTGAGGTGACTAATAGTCTCGATTTTGATAAAGAGTATTGTAAAGCAGAACTAACCCTCTGGGAGACATGAGTCAAAGCTCCTACAGTCCCGTTCATATGACTGTACACAACTTTTGGCATCTGTTTAAAGTTTCTTCATGGAATTATTTCTGTCCATATTATCATGCTGACTTATGACGACTCATTACAGACGAGATGTTATATGAGTGACACTTGAGGGCTTGGAGGGCACAACATGGTTCCGCCCTGGCTATTGCTTGTTTTGATCGGTTTTGTTTGTTGTGCTCTCTTTGTGTGCCAATTTCACCCACAAGCATGCATAGTATCTCAGCAAATTAGAAAGGGGTACAATATTCAGAGACAATATACTAGACATGCTGTTCATAAGTGTTTTAGTTTTCGCTGTTACATAATAAAGTGAGCAACATAGAACGATCAAGAATAAAACAAAAGAAACACAGAGGCAAACTTTTTGGAAACCCAAAATAAACTGTTGAGAGAGGTTAGTGGGTTATAAAAACAAAGCAATTCCCAGAATAAACTGCAAGACCCAGCAAACTTGCGGGGGTGGGTAAAGTACCTGGACGTGGTGATGGGGCAACACTCCCCCCACATCAAACACTGTGACGGCCCTGTATGTTGCACAGTCTCTATGTCCCACCGCAAAGTCAACAAACCAGTCCCCTTAAAAAAAGAGGCAGCTGAATGAGGAAGCTGGCCAAGGAACCACATCAACTGTGGCAGACAGGAAGTGATTTTTGCATTTATAACTGCCTGCTAGAAACATACCGTAAGACAGTTTGCTTTAACAAGGCAGAGAAACTAAACAGACCAAGTCACAATTAAGAACACAATTAAGACAATGTTGCAGAACTAGCTACAGTGCTAAAGAAAATGTGGGCATAAAACAGTCTGAGTTTAGGAAAAACACTGTGCTTCAGTTTTCACCCTGAGCTAATACTGACCTTAAAGTGCTATATCTGGCACATGCAATATTGAGGATCTTGTCATTTTCTGCGGCTGTCTTTTAACAACTCCAGAAAAAATAGAGAGGTTATGTTGTTGTATAGTAAATCTAATCACAAAGATGCCGTCAACGTGAGCTGAGAGGGTCTTGTTGCTCTGCTGTGATATTATCCAGCTCTCTGATGACGCAGTTGGCTGATTTGTGGTGGTGTGTGCCAACAGGCTGTGCTGTGATTGAGGGCAATTTTGGGATGTATGCCACACAAAAATGTGTGTATTTTTCGTGGTTCTGAGCCAGACTGCTTTTTGGAGGCAAAGTGGCAAAAGCAAATGAAATGTGGCATTTGTTTAAAATACATGGAGCCGTTTTCATTAAGCCTTTGACGCCATGTAAAATCAGTGGCAGATGTTTTCTCGTGTTGCCTGGGGATTCACTGAGGAGCCACATATAAACAGAAATAACCATATGATTGTGTCTGAATGACCATAAAAACTGCATCAAATGAAAGAGGGCTTGTGTATTTAAAGCTGAATAGAGCTGCTTTAGTCTGAATGAGAAGTAATCCATGTGGCCAAAAATATATGTAAAAAAGTGTTATGTAACTACACTGTAGCTGCATTCTGTATTTTATGTGTTAACCAAATGTCTGTTATAAAAATAAATGCCTACTGAAATCAAAGGACATTTTCCAGTTAAAGCGCAGTTAGTGAATAATGTGCATTTAAAGTGAGAATTTGAAAAGGGCAACAAGTATAATAAGAAGAAGGAAATTGAGAATGTTGTATCCCCCTCAACAAACAATGTGTTTTGATCTGTTAAAATATTGAGAGATGTATATTATAAAGACTGGGAACAGACACAATAGATTCAAACCCCAACTTTGTACACATCTATACAAAAGATATATGCTTTTTCATGTCTGCTGCTCTCTGTGGGAAAATCAAACCAAACAACAGGAGAGGATATGACTACATATTTTAGATGGTCAGAAATACTCTTGAAATTGGGGGGGGTGCATGACGCAAGTGTTAAAATGTATGAAGCATTAACCACATCAGGAAACCATAGATTCAAATATGAGGAAGGATGCCCTCCTCATAAAACCACAACACATTACATCTCCTCTTATGAGGAAGTTGATAGGTAAGCAATTTCCTTGACCATAATAGGCAAGTAATTAGTGAATCTGTGTGGATGTGCACTTTTATTCTTTTCATCAAATGAATGAGGTCCCAAGTGCTGCATATATGTTTGTATTATTTAGAAACAACTATTCAACATGGGCTTAAACAGGGCTATTGTGGCGCAACTCGTCAGTTCGGAAGAGTTGTTTATTTTCCTGCGTCTGAAAATTCAGCAGAGCAACTGAGTAAACATGTATGTACAGGAAGAAAGGATGTCAGCACTGTGCCCACTGAAAAAAAGCCCCTCATCTGAAGCTTTGGCCATTCAAGAGGAAAACAAGTGAATCATGATATGCTGGAAGAGACACATCTTTACCCAAAACATACTCACATACCTCAAAATATCAACATTTACTTGCTATTTCACACAGTTCGTACTCTTGAGGTTACATATTAGCCAATACAGAAGTTGCGCTCGAGTATAATGTAACAGTGTATGACAAAAACAGAAATAAGATCCGCTTTGGTGGGAAAATACTGGAAGTGCTTATGGCCAAATGACACATTACTAATGAATTGTGTCATCTTCGGGATGAAGCCGGTAAAGATGTTTCATCAGCAATGATATATGTGATGATGCCAACAACAACATTGCAATACTGCAAAGAATCACACTTTGGGTTTGTCAACCTCCTAAATCGTCTGCATAGTAAACATTTTATTAAATGTTTAAGATCTCAAAAATGTAAACAATATATTATCTGTAAAATTGACTTTAGGCATTTAACATTTGATACAGTATCCAATTATAGATAAAGAGGAAACACCTCTATGAAAAGAGTGGAACAAACTTTTTTTATATCATTACTTTGAGCAAGTGTCTGGCTGGGTCCCATGATGAGGGTGTTGTATTCATGTAAAAATACATTAACATGTCCAGAAGAGCATTTGGCATCATTAAAGGATGGAAATGTCAACATGCGTTCATCATCTAAATGTTGTTGTTGTTTTCTCCTTAAGTTATTTCCTGATTTTCTTTATTTCAGCTTGAATACCAGAAATTGTATACAATTATTTGTTATATATTGTTGGTCATTTGTGTTGTTGTTTTTTAGACACTTTACTTTATAAATGTAATATCAATGCAATCATAAACAATTTCCATATTTGGTCTTATCCACCATTGTCATTGTTCACTCATTCTAGCTTAAAAAAAACAACCACCTAATAGCTTCTAGGTTATACTAAATGTGGATATTTTGGAAATTCCCCATGCCTATTCAACATGCTGTCTGTCAAGATGTAAGTGGGAGGGTTGAGGTTAGTAGTAGGCGGGGGCGAGGTAAAGTGACTAAGGAGTTAAGTAGGATAAAAACCATGTCCACAACCAAGGGCACATAGCAGAGTCAACAAGCACCACCAGTCAGAAGAAAGACGGAAGCCAACACAGGAGACACACTGCTGATCAACTTTTTAACTTTTTGTCTAAGTGAGCACTTGTTCACTGCAAGGCTCTTAGTGTTTTCATTTTGCAGCAATCTACAGCAGATCTCATCATGAGGTGCTGTGCTTTAGCTGTGTGTTTATTTTTGGGGATAAGCATACAGGAGGGATGGAGCCTTCCCCTCAAGTCCGTCTTTGTCACATTCCCAGGAGACATCATCAACAACATGACTGATTCGGAGTTGGCAGAAGTGAGTAGCAGATGGTTCATTTTGTCTTGATGGACTGTTCTTCCCCAAACAGTGTGGGGAAGCAATTACCTGAACAGAGAACTCTAACACAATGTTAATGACAATAAATATATATTCTTCTGAATTCAAACTATACGAGTAAAAGTTATATAATATGTCACAAACACACTTTTTCTAAAGTAAAGTTAACTTTCTTATAAGAAACCAATGTATCCTGTTCATTAAATGGTATGACCATCCCTCTATACTCATTTATTTGTTCTCCTGCCAGGGTTATCTGAAGAAGTTTGGCTACATGGACACGCTGACACGCAGTGGCTTCCAGTCCATGGTGTCCACTTCCAAGGCTTTGAAGAGGATGCAGAGGCAGATGGGGATGGAGGAGACTGGAGAGCTGGATAAATCCACCCTGGAAGCCATGAAGCGGCCACGCTGCGGGGTTCCTGATGTGGCCAACTACAACACATTTGAAGGAGACCTCAAATGGGACCATAAAGAGGTCACCTATAGGTGAGTAGAGATAAATAATCTGTTAGTTAACTTTATAAACTAAAATCGTTATGAAGATGTAAAAAAACACACAATGAGAATACCTTGTTACAAATAAATGTCCTGCATTAAAAAAAATTAATAAAATGAAAGTAAGTATTAGCATCAAATTATGTTTAAACTATTAAAAGTAAATGTGCTGATTATGCAGAATGGCCCATTTCAGTCAATATATATTGTATATTTGTATTGTAATTATGAATGCATGAATGGTCATCACTTTAATGTTGCAGCTGTAAAATGGTGGCTAGTTTGAATTAATTTAGATAATTCTGGGTAGCTTAATCTATAGTAACTTCATCTTAATGTATTAGTTGTTTTTGTTTTTATATTAATGATCTGGAGCTGTAGACTAAGTCGCACCTAAAGTTGTCAAAATAAATGAAAAAAGTACATTCTGAGACATAGTGGAGTAAAGCATGAAGTAGTATAAAATGAAAAGTAAAGTACAAATACCTGAAATGTGTACAGTAAATGTACTAAATTACATTCTACTAGTATTTACAAGGCACAACATACAAGAGTATCTTTGATGGAGATACATCACCGAGTATCTTCACTTGCATTGTTTACCAGATGTCTGACAGCAGCTTGTCATTCTGCATTTCTCCACAGGATCCTTAGGTATACCCCGGACATGGCGACGTCTCTGGTTGACGACGCCTTTGCCAGAGCCTTCAAGGTGTGGAGTGATGTGACCCCTCTGACTTTTACCCGCCTCTTTGATGGGACAGCTGACATCATGATTTCATTTGGAAAAATCGGTATGTGTTTATGCGCCGGTCTTTTAATGGCATTTACTTTACTAAAGACAATTCTATAATCAAATACTGATGTAAAATGTATTATTCTACTCAGACCACGGAGACCCTTACCCATTTGATGGTAAGGATGGACTTCTGGCCCACGCTTACCCCCCTGGTGAGGGTGTGCAGGGTGACGCCCACTTTGACGATGATGAGTACTGGACCCTGGGAGAAGGACCAGGTAATCAGAAATACCAACAGATATTCCTCTACCCTCAACATTTATTATGAAGATGTCTCCCCCCAGTGTTCACTTTATACATTGCTTAAATGTATTACTGTTTTCTGTCACTTAAGCTGTGAAGACTTTCTATGGGAATGCTGATGGTGCCATGTGCCACTTCCCTTTCACTTTCGAGGGCAAATCCTACACCACATGTACCTCTGATGGGCGTTCGGACGACCTGCCATGGTGCTCCACCACAGCCGACTACGGCAGAGACAAGAAATTTGGCTTCTGCCCAAGTGAACGTAAGATTGACAGTTTATTCTGCAATGGGAGTGATAGGGCAGAGGTCAACCAGATATAAGGAGTTTATTTAGTGTCATGCTGATGCGCTTCATCCCACTTACTCTTATTTTCATCCCGACAGTCCTGTACACATTTGGAGGAAACGCAGACGGAGAAAAGTGTGTCTTCCCCTTTGTCTTTCTGGACAAAGAATATGACAGCTGTACCACAGAGGGCCGCGATGATGGCTATCGCTGGTGTGCCACCACAAGCAACTTTGACACTGACGTGAAATATGGGTTCTGTCCCAGTCGTGGTGAGTTACTGAAACCACAATCCATAAATGCTGTCGAGTACCAACACAATGTCTTGTTTTCTTACTCTTGCTGTTAATTCTTTGTTTGGACAGAGACCGCTGTAATTGGTGGAAATTCTGAGGGAGAGTCCTGCCACTTCCCCTTTGTGTTCCTGGGTAAAGAGTATGACTCCTGCACTAGTGAGGGACGAGGAGACGGCAAGTTGTGGTGCGGTACCACTGACAGCTATGATGACGACAAGAAATGGGGTTTCTGTCCTGACAAAGGTGAGTCACATGAATATAAGACAAACAAAGTAGATTAGATAAAATTGCCTTTTGCTAATATTCCTTACTGTACTGTATGTCCTCCAGGTTACAGTCTGTTCCTGGTGGCAGCCCATGAGTTTGGTCATGCCCTCGGCCTGGAACACTCCAACATCAGAGAGGCTCTCATGTACCCCATGTACAGCTTCGTGGAAGACTTCTCCCTACATGAGGATGACATTGAAGGCATTCAATATCTCTATGGTAAGGTCATTATGAACTGCGTTATCATGCAAAATCACATGAAAGTTTGCAATTTCTCACATTCAGCACCATTTCATTTTTTCAGGACGCAAAGATGGCCCTGATCCCACTCCACCTCAACCCAACACCACCCCCACTACCGCCTACCCAGACCCTGATGACACTGATAAACCCACTGACCCCACCACCACCACTACCGCTACACCTGTGGATCCAACCAAAGATGCCTGCAAGATGACCAAATTCGACACCATCACTGTGATTAATGGAGAGCTACACTTCTTCAATGACGGGTAAGCTAACCAGCCTCTTCTTCTATGTAAAACAATAAAAACAGGAAGTGTCAGTGTTGATGTTTTTTTTATTGCATGTGTTGATCAACAGACTATACTGGAGGATGTCCAGCGGGAGAGATGGAGGGCTCAAGGGACCATTTTCTATTTCCGAGACGTGGCCCGCTCTGCCAGCAGTCATCGACTCTGCGTTTGAAAACACTCTGGCCAGGAAACTGTACTTCTTCTCAGGTGAAGCTTCATGCTGTTTATAAGAGACCTTAATTGCAAAAGACAAAAGTGCAAGACAATTTTTTCTTATTATCATCTTCTTTCTATAGGGACACGATTCTGGGTGTACACAGGGAAGAGTGTTCTGGGTCCCCGCAGCATTGAGAAGCTTGGCCTCCCGAACACTGTTCAGAAGGTGGAGGGAGCACTGCAGAGGGGCAAAGGCAAAGTGCTGCTCTTCAGTGGGGAGAACTACTGGAGGTGAGTTTAAAGTGTGCCTGACATCAGGATGGGAAGCATGTCTGTCACTTTTGGCTCAAATGAAACCATCTGCTCGTTTTGACAATTATAAGTGTTGGAGTAAAGTAAAAGGCCAGAATACGCTTTTTTAATAACACAACAAAAGTCTGAGAGTTAAACCAGCTGATTGTTTTTGACTTGTTTAATGACATTCTCTGCTATGATCAACACAGGCTTGATGTGAAAGCCCAGAAAATCGACAAAGGGTACCCCAGATACACAGATGCCGTCTTTGGTGGCGTCCCCAATGATGCTCATGATGTGTTCCAGTACAACGGTAAGTTCAAATAGTAATGACTGAGCTCAACAAAAATCATTATCATATAACAGTCGATTGTTGCATGTTAAAAATCCTCATGTTGTGTTCTAGTCATTCAAATCCCAATATTTCTGCTACAGGACACATGTACTTTTGCCGGGACCGCTTCTACTGGCGTATGAACTCCCGCAGGCAGGTGGATCGCGTTGGCTACGTGAAATATGACCTTCTCCAGTGCACAGATGCTTCACGCACTCGCTACTGAGGAGATGAAGGAAACAGGGATGAGCTGGAAATCGTCTTTATTGTGGTAGCACCTACTTCTCTTGCCTGTGCAGGTGTCAGGGAGAATGTGATGCAGTATAGCGTCTGTTGTATGATGTGTGTACTTTCGGGTATGTAAATAATTGGCCACCATTGACCTTGGCTAATTCTAAAACATACAGCAATGGCCCAAAAAAGAGAAAAAATTGTTTTTTTGGCACTGCCTTATTATCTTACTCAGATAATCTGTGAACTGGTTGGTTGACCCATAACAACTAAATTAATGTTGAAGGTTATCTGGATTCCAGATGTACTTAATAATTTCTTTATGTCTGACAGGTTCAGACCATAAACAGTATTAGAATATGTTTGGTATTTATAGCAATATCTAATATGATGTTTGTGTCCTAACGCTTGTTTGTTTTGTATAAATATATGTGAGTATTTTTGAAAATGGCTTCAAAGCCAATTACTTGCACTGGAAGACAATGTATGTCTCCTTCACTGAAATTATTTATGAGACTGATATGTTTTGTACTTTCAAGGCAATAAACATTCTGTGAGAATAACACACTTGTCTGTCTTAATCATTCACCAAACCATGATTTACTGACAATGCTTGCTCATGCTCAGACGCTATATTATTCTACAATTGGAATCCACAGTCCCACAACAGCAAAAACACAAAACGTGTTGAGCCACGAGCTGATATGTAATTGTATTACTTTATGCTGTATTGATTATCTGTAGCAGTCTCCTGATAGGTGTTTTTGTTGAAATCAACACTAACAACCCGTGACATTAAGAAACACATTTAGGCATCATAAAGAAATTAGGATAATGACTCACTCCACTCTCAATAGGATTATTCATTCAACATGTTAGCAGGCCATATGGCAGTAGGCCTACTATAAAGTTTAACAAATAAAATAACATAAAAGGTAGGGAATTTATTTTTATTTAAAAAAATATCCTGTAGCATATTAACAATTTCAGCACATTTCTTATTGTTAATACATACATATTTTGTATGGACCTCGATAAACTAGCTTAATGCATGAGGAATCTCCAGAGTAAAAGGAATACAATTACAGTCAGCAGAACTGTATGTTTTCATTTTGTAATGGTACAGCCAGAGGGAATATTAAACATCTTAGGTCCATCAGTTTGTAGCTTAACAGCGGCCCTACGTGTTTGCATCTATGGTTTGCATATTACTCCGCATTCATATGCGCAATTGTCCTTCCTCAAAAAACAATAGTCCACTAAGGGAATATAAACATCCCATCTACCAAATATTTCAGACATAAAATAATCAATCAATTAATACACCTGTTTTTTAAAACAGACAAATAAATTAACCTTTCGTCAAACAACAAGATCATTTTCAACAAAAATAATAAATAAGATCCGGTTGCACGGACAGGAAGCTAGGCGAGTCTCATGGCGCCCGACTAGAATGAAGCAACAATTATCGGTTACTATTTTCTGTCCTAGTAAGCGCATCTACACTAAAGGATACGCTTCTACTCGAACATAAACGGTAAGGATAAAGCGTGATTATTCTGGAGCCGGAGGAGGAAAATATTTTCATTTTCTTCAGGGAGAGTATTAGGGCGGTCTGCCGCGGCTGAGGCCCTCGAGGTCCCCAGTACAGCCTTCAGATGCCTGAGTGTAAAACGGGGCTGCCTGCTGGAAAATGGCGACACGGAGCAGGCAGGGTGAAGGGCAGCTGGGCCCGATTAAAATGGCTAACACACGCTCTTTAAGACGCTGTTACACTCATTTAGGGTGACACCGACTACGCCGACTTGTTTAGACCAGTGACATAATCTGCAATCAACAGCGTTATTATATTAAAACACTCACACTCTCATTGGGTGACAATGATATCTGTTTTACAGCTTCATCGAGCAAGAAAACGAGCTGACAACGATGCTAAAGGCTAATGCTAGCTGCTCTTGTTAATCGTGAGCTAACAAACGTTCAGTCCTGTTGACGTTAGGTTTCTAAATAACTTGTCAGCTGATGTCACCGAACAAGTCACAACAGACCAGACCACATTTGAACTGTACACACTCAAAATAGATACCTTTAATCACTCCACAGAGAGTGAAAACACTTGATACAGCCATAATGTTGACAGACGTGTAAGCATTAGCCTCTAGGTGAATGCTAACGGTCCTTGTTTTCCTAACAGTTTGTTACACTATTCACAAAGTAATAAAACAACTCAATAAGCCTTATTTTAGCACCCTAACACCTGTGTTAGCCTAACACTTTCTATACATTTCGCATTGTATCCCACCATCACCACTAAACCATTAGATGTAGTGAAAATATAGTTTGAGAAAAATTACAAGTGTACACTTATGTTCAAGTGTTCTTAATACAAAAATGTTTGTTATGTACACCCCCTGGATAGAAAACATGCCCAGTTAGCTATTTTAAACTGTTTCCCTCTGCATTCCGTTTGGTACAAAGTCATTTAAATTCCTACAAACCCATCATTGGTTTCACATTCAATATAAAAGTCTTCATAAGGATACACTAAATGCAAACCCTACATTCAAAGTGACTGCAAAACCATACCTCAAAAACTCTGGTTCACTTGAAGTTGTTTGCCTATCTGAAAGACTCCATGACAGCTATAACAAACATACAAAATACCTTGAGAAAGACACGTTTGTGTTTTTCTTTAGTTACCAGTTTAGAGAGTATGAAATAAAAAAAAGTTCTCCGTCCAAAATAAAAATGTCTTCCATAAGAGCTTTCCTATAAAGATTAATCATGAAACAAATCAGGAGTTATGTTATGTCATAATTTATTAACACAGTGAAGTAGCAACAAACCCCAAGGCATTAAAGGCTACATAAACTTAAAAGTTGATATTGAGTTTATGTTTTATTTTTGAAGTCATGGATTCAGAGGAGAATGAGGTGGAGAGCAGCAGCGATGCGGGTCCTTCGGGGATGGAGGAGCCGTCTGAAAGCGGCATGGGAGTGGAGTCATCAGAGGCCATGTCTGCAGACAGCAGTGATGCTGCTGCCTCTCATGCACAGGCCCCTGAGTCCGACTGCCATGTTGGACAGAGCTCAGAGGGACATATGGTAAGCTTTTTAATTAAAATATGATTATGTGTGGGAGAAACCCACAGTCCAACAAAACCAGATACCAGTTAGGCTTGGTGTTATAAATGTCTTTACATTGGTATCACGTTTTTTCCCTCCTTGTCAAGGTGTTTGCCCCAGAAACCAGCTCCAGTACAGACGCCAGAGTTTCATCAGTCCATCTCCCAGACTCCTCCTCAGTGGCTCAGTCCACCAGCGTGTCCAGCGTCTCCACAGTGACTCAGTCGGTGATGGTGTCTGATTCAGCCCAAGTGCTGGTCCACTCCAGTGCTACATCTGAAGGATCCATGATGGTTTCTGACTCCACTGCTTCTACCTCGTCAGATCTCGGGTCTGCCATTGACAAGATCATAGAGTCCACCATCGGCCCTGACATCATGAATGGTATTTCCTCTGACATTCTGCTTTCTGATTTACCATTGCCTGAGCAGCTTTAAGGTTGTATTCAGTATAATAATGTAGCAGATATCTGATGCTGTTTTCTGTTCTTCTGTCAGGTTGCATAGCTGTGACCAGTGCAGAAGATGGAGGTGCAGAAACAACCCGATATTTGATATTACAAGGACCAGATGACGGTATGTGTGATGTTGTTACTGCTTACTCATCAGCCCATTAAAAACACTTTAAAAGTTCATGAAACAATTAGCACCATCTTTACATATAAAAATATCCCGAATACTCTGATGGGATGTTTTCAGTCATCATCAACCTTTAGAGCAGATTGCAGATTTGTTTCTTTCTATACCACCTTTTTATTAACCAAAATGTATAATTGTCCTCGAACAAGTGACTATTTATTTTAAAATCCCCTTAAAGGAATACTTCACACTCAAAATGTTTTTCCTCAACAGTGAACATCAACCATTTCTCTACACTTTGCTTAAAGGTGCTGTTTAAAAAACATGTATGTTTATGTTGGCAAATATCTCCTGCAAGGCAAGAGCATTTAAGTATTGGGTTAAACATATATATATATTTGTTATGATTTGTGTCCTCAAGGTAGTGTAATATGTTGCTGCAAACTTCCCTCCCTTTTGTATTCATCCCATTTCAAGCCTTTACGTGTCTCGCACACTGAAGCATGTATCAGGTGACCCGTGAAGTTCCTTAAAGGTCCCATGACATGGCCATTTCTACTGATCATAATTCCATTGTTGAGGTCTACTAGAATAGATTTACATTGTTCAATGTTCCAAACTCACATTGGTTTCTCATATGAGAACAGATGAGAATGCTGCGTGGGGTCTGGGTGCCGTGTTGGTGGGACGTTGCGGGGCTCGCTGCTCCGCCCTTTGAGGATCAAGGAGCGGACAGTGTGAGCTGTATTACTGGTGTCGTTTCCTGGTTGCTGCGTGGGGTCTGCGAGACAGCGAGACACCGAGAAACACACCTGAACTCAGCCTGAGTTTCGCGGTGTCAGGCTGAGTTCAGGCCGAGTTCAGGCTGAGTAATGCGGAGCCGCAGCTGAGAAAAGGTGTGTGTGTGTGTGTGTGTGTGTGTGTGTGTGTGTGTGTGTGTGTGTGTGTGTGTGTGTGTGTGTGTGTGTGTGTGTGTGTGTGTGTGTGTGTGTGTGTGTGTGTGTGTGTGTGTGTGTGTGTGTGTGTGGTGTGTGTGTGTGTGTGTGTGTGTGTGTGTGTGTGTGTGTGTGTGTGTGTGTGTGTGTGTGTGTGGTGTGTGTGTGTGTGTGTGTGTGTGTGTGTGTGTGTGTGTGTGTGTGTGTGTGTGTGTGTGTGTGTGTGTGTGTGTGTGTGTGTGTGTGTGTGTGTGTGTGTGTGTGTGTGTGTGTGTGTGTGTGTGTGTGTGTGTGTGTGTGTGTGTGTGTGTGTGTGTGTGTGTGTGTGTGTGTGGCAACGAGGCGTTCTGGGGCAGCATAGACAGGTCTTTTCTGTGTTACAGTTTTACTCGCTACAGGGTGTACTTTGAGAGTTTGTGACTCTGCAGACCGTTTACATGCAGAAAAAGCTACATAACACACAAGGGGACGGGTAATAACCAGAAAAGCATGACATGGGACTTTTAAGGTTCAGGGCTTAAGCCTTAAAGCCTGAGCAGGGTCATTGTGATCGAACATTGATATACAAATTGTAACTCTGTGGATGAAGTATACCTTTAAATGAATGACACACGATATGAGTATCCTTTTTTAAAGTGTGTACAATCCATGCATATGTTCGCAATAGGAGCTCCTATGGTAGCCCAAATGTCATCTTCGTTCCTCTCTGATCGTATAGCCATAGAAGCTCTTGCTGAAGGACCCACCTCCACCTGTCTGGACCAGGGAGACCTGCGGCGCCACCATGACCCTGATCAGCCGGGCCCCTCGGGTTACCCAGAGGACAGCAGCAGTCAGCCCGACCAGCCCCAGCACTCCCACCCTTCCCAGTACATGGACTGCAGTGCAGACGGTCCAGACCAGACGGGGGAGTCTTCATCTTCCT